AAACTTATTTAAAAAGTTTATGGTGTTCCTTTGATTTACAATAATGATACTTAAAAGGAATTAATCTTTATACTTAACCCTTTCTATTGCATCAGTTCATATTACAATAAAGTGTTTTTTTTTTACATTTGGTCGGTTCAACTGCCATATGACATAATAATGTTTCTATGAAGCAAAATATCCTATTAAATAGGATTACCTAACGCCCTTAATTAGTAAGGATAAGAGGTAAAATAAAAATTTAAGCAAAACGTAAATTACTCAACCCAATTTTATTATAAAAAAATATAATGATTACATAAGGGTTTTATACATTTTTAAATAATAATCATCCTTGCAAACATCCAGGAATTCTTTCCAGTTCGTTGATTTTTATTTTCTCGCAAAACGACAACTTTGGCACCGAATTAATGTCTAATTTTAAAAGATTCTACTTTTTTAGCTAATACTTGAATTCAAAGTCTACACAGTCATGCTGCAACTACAAGATTTATTATTTTAAAGCCTGCCTGTGATCTATATACAAAATAAATGCACCGCTAGTGTTGGAATTATTGTTAAATGAATGGAATTTTCGATGGTTTAAAATACCCATCACAATAATAAATATCTGCAAATATAAAATAGTCGTTAATTTTCGAGTTACAAGCATTATCAGCCTTCCTTTATCTACTGACTACATTCCAAGTTACCCTTAGATTGATTGCAAATGAAAAAGATACCGAATCGAATGACTCTTGTATTATAATATGGGTGACTACCAATTATAGGAATAGGATGTTCTGAATGAGTAGATAAATGACTAGATGTCAATACAAGGCGAAACCAGCAAATATTAATTAATTACTGTTTCCGTATTACGGATTATCGGAAATAGTTTTACTGCATTGTTGGATACATTTTTCACACAGAAAGCCGAAGTTAGCTTTTAAAATAATTCTAGTAGCCATGTAAAAAAATGCAGTAGATAACTAATCTTTCACCAAAGTAAAATTGTTTTTTAAAGCTGCAAGCAAAAGCTTATTTTATGTCGCTAATTTTAAATCTAGGGCATTATCAGTATCGTGTCTAGTTTGTACGTTACGTAATTGACATAAAGTTTATAATACTATGTAGTACTTCACTTCCAATCCGTTCCGCGGCAATGTAAATTGAGCCTTATGGTGTGGAACTGTAAGCATACATGATAATAGGTTTAATGGCATATATACTTACAATTTACGATAACAATGTCTTTTCTATTTGCAATCATCTTCACACTTGTTATTGACAATAAAAGGTTATATACTGAAAATCTAATACTTAAATTACAATTATCGAGACAATGGAAAACACAATATCAGTCATTTTATAAAATATTTAAAATTAATGAATATAAAATAATACTTTTATAATAAGATTAAATTAGTAACATGATATGAACGGTCTACATCTAGTGAATATTCAATTACAAGATCAGATGTAAACTACATTCCCGGACACATAATTCGAGTCACCGTGCATTTATATTTTTAAGGCGAAATGGTATTGTGGTTGCGTAGGCTTTGAAGCGTGTGAGGTCTACCGCCGAGAAATTCATTGCACGATATTTAAACATTTGGCTTTCAGAAATAAAATATTCTCTCTTAGTGAAAAATGAGCTCATAGTCACCTGACGTCTTTTATGATTACGGAACACGGGACACAAAATTTCATTAAAATATCTCTAAAATCGAATGAAACTGACTTTTCCGTAGATGCAACGTAATAAATAATGAAAACTTTCCGGAATTTTGCGATTTTTTTATCGAGCTAAGTTTAGTCAATGGAGATTCGGGCCCCATACCGTACTTTCTGATTTTATTTTATTATTTTATTTAGCATTAGCTATACGGCCATTAGCTTAAAGAGGTAACAAATAATATTAAGAAACTCAAAACGTAATAAGTACTTAAACGAAAAATGAACTCGTGTAAAAACTAAGTACAAAACCCGCCACTTTCTTTTCTGTTAAGTTTAAATGTTCGAAGGACCAAAACGAAGAATTATTTATTTATTTTTTAAAGTCTAATTCGTATTTTTTAATATCAAAAAGCTGATTTTCCGTGTGGTCGAGATACGTCAAAGCGTCTATATTGTGGCTCACTACACCTCTGGGGCTCTAATTCAAGCCAGTTTGATGAATCAATTTTTTTTTTAATTTAGGGCATTTATTACTGAATATGAAAGTGGCTCAAATTATGTGTCCGAGAGTATACTTTTAAAGAAATGGCACAAGACGGTAATAATGTCTAAAAATGAAATGCACATAATCAACATACGGACGCGTTAGGACTAACCATCGTTTTCTTAAACACAAATTATCCCTAAAAATAGAAACTTTGGCCTAAATTTATGTTTATATACTGATAGCATATTTTTGCAGGGAAACATTTATTATTGATGGTATATAAAGGGAACTTGGCGCCGCGCAAACGCATGTCTTGTGTTGGATACAATTGGTGTTGGGTCATGGAAAAATTTACATTTTGAAAAAATCATATTTTTCAGAAAAATAAATATTTTTCCGGATATTTATCCAATGTTTTTCCTTTAATTTTCCACATTTGACGTTGACACCTGTCAAAAGTTTAAGTTACTGAACCAAAACGATAGAGCCATTAAAAAGGTTTTTTTCGTTGTTGCGTCATTCATCAATCATTAACCGACTTTAAAAAAAAGGAGGAGGTTCTCAATTCGACTGTGTTTTTTTTCTATGTATGTTACGCGATAACTCCGGTATTTGTGAACCGATTTTCATGATTCTTTTTTGTTCGAAAGAGGGTACCTCCATAGTGGTTCCATTTAATTTTGAAGAAAATCATCCACCTCTAAGGGTGGCTGTTTACGCATGAAGGTTCATTTTTATAAATAGCGCCTAAATTTTATTATAAGGAAAAATTATTTTAATGGTTGATTTTGCTATTATCCAATTCAAGGCGTTTTTCTCTCAATATACTTTGAGTAGTGAGAACCTATTTTTATTATCTCCTGTGTCAAGTCCCGTATAGTGGCGAACTAGGGGATGAATCCGGGTTTGCTCACTTT